GCTCTAAGAATAGTAAGTGATGAGCACGTTTGCTAAGGATCTACATGGAGTGTCCAGAAATCCTGAAAAGCTAAGATATCCCAGCTCCTAAACGTCAGGTCCAGCCCAGCCCCTGCGTCTGTGCAGGACAGGGCTGAGTCCAGGTCTCCCTAGACAGCTGGACAGGTTCAACCTTAACTAAGGAGACAGTAGGCCCCTGGGTGGGTGCTGAGATTGGGAAAGCGGTTTTACAGCAAGAGCTCCTGAGTCACCCAGGGCAGACAGGAGACACTCCATCCAGAAGCAAAGCCACACCGGGGAGCAGAGAGGAGGCAGAGGCAGGTCCCCGTCACTCAGCGCCGTGGGGAAGAAGCTCCCCTGGCAAATTTCTAAAGTTAATCTCTTCTTTGTAGCATGAATTCCCATCAACACAATCTTTAAGGCGAATATGTAAAATGTAATTTCCTAAGCATTAACTTTCTCCAGAACTGTGGACTATCACCATGACATACTATACCAAAGCAGAAAAGAGAAAAACTAAACTCTACAGGACCTAACCTAGGAGACTCCTCAATAGATATAAAGCAATAGCTTCTTACAGAAAATCTGACAACCAAGTAGGCTCTCCTGGGGCATCACAAGAGTGCAGAGCCTTCGCCTGGGCCCCTACTGGTGCCGCAAAGACCCTTGGTTCCAGAATGGCATCTGATTCCAGTTCCCTGCTGGAGATCGGGCTTTGCTTGGTGAGAGCAGAATAGCGAGAACAAGACCCCCTAGATTTGGGCAGCACTGTCCGCAGCCACAGAGCATCTTCCTGAGAAGAAAGCACCTAGGACTAGAAGCGCGGACGAGAACAATGATGTCACTCACTGCTACAGAAGGAACACTGGGCAGAGTGCCCTTAGGCTCAGCTCTCTCCACGCTTAGCGTTGCGGGTCCTGAGTGACACGGTCAGCAATCAGATACTCTCAAAGGCTGGATTCTCAGTGGAAAAGAAAATTCATCCTGGATAAACCTTTGGCTTAACTGCAGGGCTCAGCAAAGGGCAAGATGGCAAGTATTTTAGGCTTTGCAGGCCAACAGGCAAGATGGAAGATACTGTGTAGGAAGTTACATAACAAAAGAGAAAACTCCCAGCCTGCGTCTCCCTGCCGGCCTCTTTTTGCCAACCTGGAGTGGGCCTGCCCGAGTGGCAGTGTACTTCATGCTCTGTGCCCAGTTGCCACCTGCGGGAGACATTCTCGGGACAACAATGACCAGCCCAAGAGGGAAAGGGCAGTCAGGTGGGTGCACAGAGGGCAGGGGAGGGGCGGCTCATGGCAGGCAGGTTCACTCTCTGCCCCTATGGCACCCATATGCCAGTGTGTCCCTCTCCCCTCCCAGTCATCTCAGGTTGGGCAGCTCACTGAAGGCTAGGTAACTTATCAAGTCACCAGCTCCTGAGCAGAGATTCCACGGCTTGGTGCCCAGCAGTTGCCAACAGTAGAGTTTCCAACACGTAGATGGCAAACGGCATGGGCCTCAGGCAGCAACAAGATACTGCAGGCCAGGCAGGCAGGCACTGAGATTGGAGGGCAGGGTGGAAGGGGATTCTCCAGCTGGCCTCCATGGCGCACAGGGCCAGCCTGCTCTAGCAGTGCCCACATGCCATACAAAAACACAGGCCAATCCAATGGGGTACTGTTTGCTGATCCCAGACTTAGTAAACGATAAAGTCTGAAATACTTTGCTTTGCTGAATGTGATGGCTTTAAATAATAATACCCACACATTCCTTGATGCTCTTCCCTTTGAAAAGGGAGAGCTTAATTTCTTTTCTCCTTGAGCGTTTGCTGGACTTAGTGACTCACTTCTGATGAATAGAATGTGGTGACAGTGATGGTGTCTGACTTCTGAGACTAAGTCCTCCCAGACCTTACTTGCTCTCTCTCAGATCCGTCACACAGGGGACTTCGCCGCCATGTCATGCGGATGCTTGGCATCCCTGCCCCCTGCGGAGAGTGACTGAGGCCTCCTGCCAACAGCCATGAGGGTGGACACAACTTAAAAGCAGATCCTCCAGCCCAAGCTGAGCCTTCAGATGGCTGCAGCCCTGGTCAACATCTTCAGTGCAGCTTCCCGAGAGACCCTGAGCCAAGACCCCTCAGTTAAGCCACTTCTGATTTTTGCCCCTCACAGAATATGAGATAATAAATGTTTACTGTTTTAAGCTGTTAACTATTAGGTCGATTTGGCATGCAACAATAAGTAACTAATACAGTGGGCAGTAAAATAAGAGGCATTTGTCAAAACGAGCCTTATTTTGTAGTGATAGCTGGTATCAATATCCAGGTGCTTCTTGACATATCTACTTGGATAACTCATACACATCTTAAAGAAATATGATTCCCTTCAAACATACTTTTTTAGAATCTATCCACCCCTGGCTGCCTTAATTTCCCATCTAAAAAATGGTTCCATATTTATATGGAGGTCATACCTTTGTGCTTTCTGTTCCCTCACTCCGCCCACCTGCGATGCAGACATGTGCTCCTCCCCCATTCACGTGGTTCCCTACATACGCTCTGAACTCAGCCCCACTGAGTGGCCTTCTGGGTGGCCTGCTCATCTAAGGCAGGTCCCCTGTTGTTTTCTCTCTCAGACTGCTGCTTATTTACTTCACAGTATATAATACAAGTTGAGTTATTTGATCATTTGTTTAATTGTACATTATCTGTCCAGGCACCAAGCTGAGAAAAGGGCCTGTCTATTGACAGCAGATACCTGAGAGGCTCCTGACTTGGGCTCAGAGCCTGGCCCCCTCAAGTCAGCCACCCGCCGCTGAGCAGCCATCCAGTAACAGACAATCGAAGTTGGAGGGGCTGCATGGCTACAGATGCCAGGTTCCTGCTTCCTCAACTCAGAAACCCTGTGTACTGAACTGGTGTGTATTTCTGTCCTTTGATTCTACATAACTGACATTATGGGCACTCATTAAATACAGAAAGATGAATGTCCTTGCCCTGAGTTCCCAGTCTAGTGGGGAAAACAGATCCTCGAAGGGATACATTTCAGTGCAATGTGTGGATCTGACAGGTGCTGCAGGTGCTGCCATGGGGCCAGACGAAGGGGGCTGCCCTCAAGTGGGGTTGGGGGTAGCCTGCATGGACCCTGAGTAAGGGGAAAGGACTATCCCTGCAGATCTGGTTGAATAAATTTCCAAGCTTCCCCTGCCAAGCCAGGTATATCAGAATCACTTGACAGAACGATCTGCTAGCCTGAGCCAGAGGGCATGACTGGAAAAACATGTCCCCTGGCACCAGAGCACGAGTCTCCACTCCAAAGTCATATGCCAGTGTCCCAGGAGGGAGGGTGGACTTCTGGCCACCTAAACCTCTTCCTTCTTGTCAAATGACAGTCAGGGCTGGGGGGTGGGTGTTGGGAACAAGGCTAACATCTCAGAGCCTGAAGTGGAAGGATCTGGAGAAGTCTGGAAGGAGGCGTGACAAAATTCACAGTACAGGTGCCAAACTGCTCCTGCCGCTCCTTCTGCAAGGCAGGGAGAGGGACACCAGCAAGGGGACAGGTGGGTACGGGGGACAGGGCTGGTGCCAGGGGGTCACCTGAACAAGCCAAGGGGAGGAAGGCCTGGCTCCCTCCTCCCCGTGCCCCCCAGACCCCCCAGGACTCCTCTGTCCCTTGGGCAGTCATGTCCAGGCTTTCCACAGCATTCCTCCAGGTGTAACCAGGGGGAGATGAAGCCTGTCAGTAGCCTTGCTGGGAATGACTGCAACTAGTGGGAAGTTCTGGTGACCCCAAGGTACAATGGGGGCAGTAATATGGAGACAAGGGGCTTTAGTGACCCAATTTCTATTCTATCCTCACATAAGGCCACTGCCTAGACCCCAGAGTTAGGACACAGAGTGAGTTTTCTCATAGAAAGAATGGGGCAAATGGGGGTAAGTATTCAAGTGAGGTCAATATACTCATGATATTTCAGCCAAATTCCAAATTAAATTACATTTTATGTCACATGATTAGGATTTGGGACACAGAGTGAGTTTTCTCATAGAAAGAGTGGGGCAAATAGGGGCTAAATATTCAAATGATATTAACATAGTCACAATATTTCAGCCAAATTCTGAATTAAATTACAGTTTATGTCACATGATCAGGATGTCTCTGGGCACAGCTATATATTTTTATGGAAAATAAACAATTTAAGTTAATTAGAAAATCAGCCAGGGGAGGCAGAGGCTACAGACAGGCCCTCAGGACTCTAGCCCAGACAGGCTGCTCTGAGGTTCATACAAGATAATCTGTGTCAAGTGCATAGGACAGGACCCAGCACTTAGTAAAGCTCAAAGTCAGTTATTCAAAGAAAAGGAATTTAGACAAACATTGTCACCAGTTAAATATAAGATCAAACCACGAGGTACCTGAGCACCTGAGGAAGTTCTCTGGGAGAACGCCCCAGCCCCCGAGTCACAGGAGAGGATTTGGTGCAGCACAAGACCAGCCAGCACAGCTGAGCTGCTTACAGAGGCAGACAGTTCTCCTCCGGGTCCCCAGTCACCTGCCATCCTCACACCCATGCCAGGAGGCACGACACAGTGTCCTGGGAGACTTCCCCCGACCTATGCCAGCATCCCTTTCAGGGCACTGAGGAAGACACACACAGTTGATCTATCTCCCCTGGGCAGCACTTTGGGCCAGAAAGCTTAGAGCTCAGCGGTGTGCTGGGGACCCTCTGCAGCAGCACTCCGCTGCAGACCACCTAAGTCCCACACTGTCTCCTTCTTCCTTCAATTCCAGTTCTTGCCCTAAAATGCAGATATAAGGGTAATCCTCAGGCCCGTGTCCCGCTGGGAATGTTGACCCTAGCGTGCCGTGGCATAGTGGGGAGACGTCCTGTCCCCATCCTCCCGGCGGGCGCTGCACGCCCCCACCCTCCCGTCCCTGCAGTCCTCTCCCCACAAGCCCCCAGTTTCAGGAGCAGCCACTCACTCGCCCTCCCACACCTCCTGCAGGATGGCCACCTACCCGCCGCGGCTGCAGCCCCCGGGCCCTGCCGCAGCCCGCCGAGTGGAGCCTGTGCACACACGCAGTAGGCGTACACTGGGGCCGGAAGCACTGCAGCTGCCCGAGCCTCCAGGCCGGTGTACTAACAGGCTATATTTGTAAGCTGATAATATGATCTCTAGGCCATGTGCTGATAAACTATCTATCTATTCCATGTGACTCAGCCCGGTATGAGACAAAACAGATTTTGTAGGGAAGGTCTTGGCACACAGCACATGACAAGGCGGCCAATCTGAGCCCTGTAACCCGGGATTATCTGCACCACCCTCATGCATGGCGGGATCTTTTTAGACTGGAAATTCTCAAGTGTGTTAAATAAAACAGACCAGAGAAGGGAAAGGACTCCGTACTCTCAGCACTCTAAATAGGAACCAAACAAAAAGCAGGCTAAGTAAGCCAGATGACCAAGGGAATGTAATTCTTTTTCAGTGTTTGAAGCAACAGATGTCAAAGGGTCATTTCATGTGAGTTTAGGTTTTCTTTATTGATTTTACTGATTGGGCAAATACAGTTTGCCGATCTCTGCCATTGTGACAATTTGGCATTCAGCAAATAATCAGAATCTGAGCAGAACCGCCCCCACCCCCCACCCTGCTCCAGGGAGCCCACACAACCCACCCGCAACACCTCCAACACCACTTTATGGCACGACTCCTCATACACCTTTGCCTTAAACAGAAAACACCTTTTGCCTAATATATACATTGTAACTCTAGTTACAAAATGGTTTGCTTTTCAAAGGGCTGTTTTCTATGGAACATTTTCTACTTTTTGACATTTATATTATCACTAAGTTATATACTAAGTTGGTAAGGCTCAAATAAATCTTTGTGACTAGATTAAATCATACCTCTAAAGTGTTGGATATGCTTTTTATTACTTAGGAGAGAATTTCTTATTTATTTTTCTCTTTTGATAAATAATGTAAGTTACCTTTTTTGTGATTAACATTTAGTTTGGTTTGGGTTTATGTTTGGTTTGGAGTTTTTTATGGTATTGTGAACCAAAGAATAGGAACTGAAAAGGCAGTTTCAGTTCAGATACTACTTAAATAGTATATCACTTTATAAGAGAGCTAACTATTCAAAAGCTTGATCATAATTAAGTGGAAAAATATATTTTCCCATAAATGCATTCCAAATTCAATGGAATGCATTTATGGGATTCCATTATGATGCTAGTGTGGGAGGAACAGGCCATTGGATCGCCCAGGCTCCTCTGACTACAACGTGTACCCAAACAGGACTGAGACATTTAGCTAATAAAAATACTTTCCATGGCATTTGAATTTCAGATTAACAAATCATTTTTTAATGTCTCAATATTGCATGCAAATAATTTTTGCACTAAGAAATTATTTATTATTCATATGAAATGTAAACATAACTGGGTGTCCTTTATTTTATCTGGCAATCCTCCACTCAAACCCCCCAGGATCTTACTAAAATGCAGTGTGATGTGGGAGGTCAGAGCAGAGCTGTGTGCTAACAGGGCTGTCTCTTTAACAAGCTCCAGGTGATGCTGGAACTGCTGGGTCAGGGGCCACACCAGTAGTGGCAAGGACCTGCTATTAGCGCAGCCTGGTGCAGTGGTACCCACGACTGGCTCCTCAGTGGCAGGGTCTAGGTGGTTCTAACTCAGCTGGTCTGGGGTGGGGGCCAGTGGTCCATATTTTCAGCATACTCCATGGATGCTTCTGATTCACAGCCAGGAATATGAAGCATGATATATGTAAAAATACTAACCGTACTTATGGTCATGCAAAGACTTGTTATTATTATATTATTGCTGTGTCCAAAGAGACCTCCCAGTTTCTGAGCCCCCAAGAGGCAAGAGGCAGGACTGTCCCCAGAGGTTGTCACTTCCTGGTGTCCCCTTACAGCTGGAAGCAGCCCAAGTCACAAACAGCCTTATTACTACCAACACAAGCTATTTTCTCAGAACTTAACACTTTCTTATGTTAATTCAGCTCCAACTGGGCCTGTGGCCTCTCATGAAACTGCAGCCTGCAGACCACAGCTTCAGCCTCTCCATGGGAGGCATGCATATGTGCCTCAAATCCAAGGGGATCCCACACACACGCCCACGAAGACATCAGAGGGACTGAATGCTTTCCTCAGGCCATTCTGAGTCTCGGACTCCTGTTAGGACATTGAGTCACACGTACCACGAAACTTTCTTCCAGGTAAATCCCTGCTCTCACCAGCCCAATGCCCCTGTTTCATGGCATAATTATAGAAGAATGAAAAACCCAAAGTCCTACAAACCACTTCACCTTACTTCAGTGGCAAATACCAAATGCTTCCCACTGAAGTAGGAGCAAGTGATGAGGGTCCTGGCCCAGAATGGCTGTGAATCTCAAGCACGGCACCCTGGGCTGAGGAAGGCTGCCCTGGCTCCCGTATTATATTAACTTACATTAACTACACGGCCTGATGATAATATTTGGGATATATTGGGTTAAAGTAAAATATATTATGAAAGTCAATTTCACCTGATTCTCTATCATTAATGTGGCTAACAGAAAATTTAAACTCATACATGAGGCTGGCACGGTATTTCTACTGGGCTGTATTCCCCCAAATCAGAGTCCAAACCTGGACGACCCCGGCAGGCAGGCCTGACAGATGCTCCCGTCACCACCAAGGCGAGCCGCAGGGAGCACTGAGAACACAGGATCAGAGCAGAGCGTCACACTCTGCTCTCAAAGACTTAAGTTTATTTAGTCTTCCTCTTCACAAATATAATCTTATTCAACTGCAAGAGGCCAGAACTCAGATCTGTGCCAGTTCTATCACCAGGAGCCATGTCATCTGTACCCTGGAAGCTAGCCACATACCCACTGGGCCCACGGGCAGTCCTGACGTGATGCTGACCAGCACCCCATGGAGGATGACTGCCGATGGGTTGGACGCATTAGGAAACCAGGGCCCATGGGTCATTCCCACTCAGCCAAATGGTAATTATCAGGAATGCCAATCCTAAAGCTCCAACTGGAAACTCTTCATGTGTGATGGTACAATTGTGGATGGAAAGGTATTTGTTTGTTTGTTTTTTTTTTAATTTTGGAATGACCATTATAAGATTAAAATGAAATAGTCATACACAAAGTCAAAACAAATAAAAAAAAACTACACATAACAGCTAACATTTTTTGCGTGGCTGTTATGTGCCAGGCACAGTTCTAAGTGCTTTACAGCATTATATCTAACCTTGGAAAACACCAGAAACAAATCAGAATTTAAAACATACTACTGTCATTAAGGTAGCAGAAACTACACTCAGCACTTCCTGTTACCTCATCTCATGCTGGCCACAGTGCTGAAAGAGAGGCGTTACTCCATTCATTTCAGTGAGGGGGCTCTGAGGTGCTTGGGGTCCCTGTTCGCAGGTGGGCTTGGCACCGGGCGCAGGCCTGGGCTGCCCTGAGATGCTGTGCTGTGTGGTGAGGGCAAGGAAGGAAAACATGAATGCGTGAATGTCGCCTGGCTCTCCTCAGGACGGAGAGGTGTGTAGGAAGACAGTCACATTTGTCAACTACCCAAATGTGCCAGAACTATGGTAGGTGTTCCTCTTATAAGGATAAGATATAAGAAATCTCATAAGATATAAGATGCCTATAGGAGGGCATCTCTGTGGGGCAGGTGTCCATAGTCCCATTTTATGAGCATAATGAAGGAAAAACGAAGCTGAGGTTAAGTAACCTGCTTGAAATAGGTGACGTGTCCCCATGGGTGTAAACTCACCTCCCTCCCTGGTGTTAAACATACCTATTGAGAAGTTCGAAGAAGCCTAGCCTTACGTGTTCATATCAGTCCAGCACAGCAGTGACCCTGGAGCATTGATACAAAGAGTACCTGCAAATAAAGCTTCATAACCAAAGCCCACATCAGCCACAACTCTGCATCAAACTGCACCCGGGCCTGCACGGAGCTCTGGGGAAACCCTCCTGGCAAAACCTAAGTGGCTTACCTAGAGACTCTACAGTAAAATTGAATCTGATGTTTTTCATGAGTGGATGAGGAGAGAGGAAAATGTAAAATACATATTTAGAAATCAAAATGGGAAAAAATGCCATTTTCCCCATTATTAAAACCCTGACTTCACTGTAGCCTTGTTCTAGCCAGAAGGATCCAGTTCTAGAGCTGATTTGTTTGCTGTTTTTCTGCCTCTCCCATGGCCTTGTGCAGTTGGCATGCTGTCAGGTGAGTCAGCAGTGTATGTCTCTTCCCGTAGCTGTCTCAGACTGTTAGATTGGGTGGCTTGGAAACAATAAAAATTTATCACTCACAGCTCTGGAGGCTGGGAGCCCAAGGTCAGGGTTCCTGCATGGTTGAGTGAAGACCCTCCTCCAGGTCGCAGACTTCTTGCTGCTGACCCTGTAGCCAACAACTTTGTAAAACTTACTTAGATGAGTTTTCTAGAGCTGCCATAACAAATACTACAGACCATGGAGCTCAAACAACAGAAATTTCTTTTCTCACAGGTCTGGAGGTTACAAGCCAAGATCAAGGTATCAGCAGGTTTAGTTTCTTCTGAGGCCTCTTTCCTTGGCTTGCAAATGGCCACCTTCTGACTGTGTCCTCACATGGTCTTTTCTTGTGTATACATCTCTGGCATCCCTTTGTGTGTCTTAATCTCCTCTTCTTATATGGACACCAGTCAGATTAGCTCATGCACATGAGCTCATTTAACCTTACTTACATCTCTAAAGACGCTATCTCCAACTACAGCCACATTCTAAGGTACTCAAGTTTAGGGCTTCAACATATAAATTTGCAGGGGAATCTAGTAACCACAATGTTGCTCATATGATTGTAAATTAATGATACCAAAATAAAATTTAAAAATATGTATATATTTAAAAAAAGAGTAAGTGTTAGAAAGATTGAGGCATAAAAATATTTGTGCCTCTGTCCATATCTCTCTAAGCCTGAGTGGTATGATCACTGTAGAAAGTATGTACTAGCTATCTCTTTTGAAATCCTTACTGCCTTGCAAAATAAAATCTAATCTTACAGGAAAAAAAAATTTGCAGGGGAACAATTCAGCCCATAACACCAGCCTTCTCAGAAA